ATCCATGTTGAAATCCTATTCCTTTTGGCCAATCCCATATTGAATCAGGATTCGGTCACTGGGGGACCAGCCTCCCCACCGCACCTTGTTTGTTGGGGTTTGATAATCCTACTGAGGAAGATTCTTTGCTAGGTTGTGAGACACATTGATTGGGACTGGCCCCATCTGCCCCCCTCCTTGTCCTGCTTCCTTCAGGAGACCAGCCCTCCCTCCCTACACTCCTGCCTACAGCCCTGGTCCCAGCCTTACCTGAGTAACAGGTGGAAGTGGAGGGTGGGGTAGGGAGGACCTGGGGGTGGGGCTGGGCCCCTTTCTCAAGAGTGTCTCTGCTTCCTCCTCTTCCATCCTCCTGTCCTGTGACTGGCATCCCTCTGCCCCTCACCCCAGCCTTCTGACCCTGCTCTGGACCCACACACTCACCGTGCTGGTGGACGTGGCTGCCTCCCAGCGGAGCTGCCCCCTTGCCTCTAGCAGACTGAAGATTGCGTTGCAGGTAATAAGAGCAGTGACAACAAATAAAAACCCTAGTGGGAGATGACAAATAATAACCCTGGTGGGGTCACCTCAGATGTCTCATCCCCTAGAATCTGGAGATCTGCTTCTATGCGGAGGGCTGCGGCCTGCCACCTGCGGCGCTGCACACAGTCACCTTCCAGGTGGGGGTCTTTGGTGAGCTGGTGGGGTGGGGGGAGCCTGCCTTTCTGTGTCCTGTGTCCCGTATTAACTACATAATTTACAGGGCCCAGCACAAAAAGAAAATGTGGGCCCTTTTCCAAAAAAAAATTTTTTTTTATTTATTTATGATAGTCACACACAGAGAGAGAGGCAGAGACATAGGCAGAGGGAGAAGCAGGCTCCATACACCGGGAGCCCGATGTGGGATTCGATCCCGGGTCTCCAGGATCGCGCCCCGGGCCAAAGACAGGCGCCAAACCGCTGTGCCTCCCAGGGACCCCCCTTTTCCAAAAATTATTAAAAATTTAAAGACAGTAACGGCAGAGCATTAAACCAAACATAAAGCTCTTCAGGCACGGTGAGGGGGTGGCCGTGCCATGGTAAGGGTGGCCACCCTCGAGGCCCATGGCGTCCGTGCCGCGCAGGCCGCCTGAGGGTGCGTTCCCCAGGTGAGCATCCGGGCACCCGGTGCTTTCTGTATCAAATTGCTGTTGGCCGAATCAAACCCTCTGGGCTGCGTGTTCCCGAAGGGGAAGGGCGGCCCCGGGCTGCGGTGGAGAATGGCAGTTCGCGGGACTGCTCGCCTATGCCTGTTCGCAGGCTCTGCGGAGGGACCTGGAGCTGCAGGCAGCTTCCAGCCGGGAGCTCATCCAGAAGTACTACTGCAGCCGCATCCAGCAGCAGGTGAGGCTCCTTCCCCGCAGTCACTCCGGGCGCCCCTGGAGCCCCCTCCACCCTGCCCCACACTGCCCACGTGCGCCCCCCCGCCCCCCGCAGGCAGAAACCGCCTCCGAGGAGCTGGGGGCTGTCACGGTCAAGGCCTCCTACCGCGCCTCGGAGCAGAAGCTGCGGGTGGAACTGCTCAGCGCCTCCAGCCTGCTGCCCCTGGACTCCAATGGTGAGTGCAGGCCGCCCCCTCCCTGGAGCGCAGGCTGCGCTTCCCTCATGCTGCCAGGAGGGGGCGGTGCTGCCAGCAGGGCACAGCCGCAGGCGCCGGGAACTAGGGGCCGGGAGCTGGGAGAGCCTTGGCCCTGTCACCTGCCCACTTGCCAGGCTCCAGCGACCCCTTCGTCCAGCTGACCTTGGAGCCCAGGCACGAGTTCCCCGAGCTGGCCCCCCGGGAGACCCAGAGGCACAAGAAGGAGCTTCACCCTCTGTTTGATGAGACGTTTGAATTGTGAGTGGGTGCCTACCCTTGCCACCCTTCCCCAGCCCTGGACTTCCTTCAGACCTGCTCCTCCCACCTGAGGCCAAGGGGCACCTGGAACAGGGGCTTGCAGGGACCCAGGAGGAGGAGTAGGACCGGGGACAGGAAGTCCACCTGTAGGACTTAGAGACTTGCTTCCAGGAATGATCCTGTTCCTGAGGTCCTCTGTTCCCCAAGACAGGAGGGTCTTGGTTTAAAGTAGCAGGCCAGAGGAGGCGTCCGACGTAGCACATGCCCACTGAGCACTGACGGCGATCCTAATCCCCACCTGCCCATCAGCCCTGGCCCGTCCTCTAGGACCAGCAGTAAACCGTGTGTGGGGGTGGGTGACAGTGACCATGTAGGGGGCAGGCAACTGAGCCCCACTCTGTCCCCATCTCAGCCTGGTGCCTGCTGAGCCGTGCCAGAAGGACGGAGCGTGCCTCCTGCTCACGGTGCTGGACCATGACACGCTGGGGGCTGACGACTTGGAAGGGGAGGCCTTTCTGCCCCTATGCTCGGTGCCAGGCCTGACTGGGACCGAGGAGCCTGGCGAGGTGCCTCAGATCCGCCTGCCCCTCACCTACCCCGCACTCAACGGTAGGCCTGAGCCCCAGGGCAGTGGGGCTTCGGGTGCAGGGCCTGGCCCAGCACTGGGGTGCAGGGAAGAGGCAGCCCACGAAAGCCGGTGGCCCCCAGGGAAGTGAATGAAGTTGATATCAGAGAAATCCCTCCTTGGATGCAGAAGCCAGTGGAGTCAGTGTGGTGGCTTGTGCTGCTGAGTAGATCTCAGTCTAATGCAGAGACCAGTGAAATTTGCTAGGCCATGTGTGGTGTGGCGCTCTTCAGTGGGGGGCAGGTCACCAGTTTACCTGGGGAGAGAAACTGGGTCTCCGCCTGGGGGGCACAGGCCAAACATTCTCTGGGCCGGATAATAATAGGTCACATGTCTGAGTACTTATCCAAGGCCACTCTTAAACACTTGACACGTTAACTCCCAATCCTACAACCACCAACCATGGCAAGTACTATTATTCCTATCTTACAGATGAGTAAACTGAGGCACAATGAGGTTAACTAGCTAGTCTCAGGTCTAGGTAATGGTTGCAACCTGAGATGCGCCTCAGCCTCTTCCAGTGCAAATGGGGTCAGTGTCTGTGCCATGCCAAAGACAGTGAGGTGTCTTGTCTTAACCGTCAGGCTGTCTTGTGAGCTTGGCTGGTGTGTGTCTACTAGTTTCCAGTTTCCGGGATGGCTGGAGAATGGGGCACTGTCTCCTCCTGCTGCAGCCTGACCCCCCAACACGCCTCTCTTCACAGGGGATCCCATCCTGCAGCTGTTGGAGAGCCGAAAGGGTGATCGGGAGGCCCAGGTGTTTGTGAGGCTGCGGCGGCAGCGAGCCAAGCAGGCCTCCCAGCATGCCCCAAGGCCAGGGCGGTAGCAGTGGAGGTTACAGATGGGGTTGGGGTTGGGGTTGGGTGCCCAGTAGGGACGGGCTTTCCTGAGAGCTCTGGGTTCTCTCCACCATAGTGTAGCCCAGAAGGACCCCATAAGTCTGGAGAACCCCAGTGTGTGGAAGGCCCAGCACAAAAATCACCTCTGGCCCTCCTGCCAGAGCAGGCGCCCGTGGTGCTGGTGCAGGGGCCCCATTAGTATTTATATTCCCTCCTTCCTGCCCTCAGCGTTTTCTACCAAACCCCAGCACGAGGTGGAGGGAGCAGCTGTCTGCAGCTCTCACCCCTGCTTCCCTCTAGAAGCTGCTCTGGCAGAGACCTCTCAGCCATCTGTTTCCGGCATATCTATTCCAGTCACTGAGGTGGGGGCTCGGCTCCCTTGGGCCTATCCTTTAGCACCCCTACCTTGGTTCACTGGGGCTAGGGCTACAGCACAAAGCCTCCTGGGGGAGGGAGGGGACCCTGCCAAAGACAAGGCTACAGATGCCCTGCTGGGGAGGGCGGCAGCTCTAATGAAGGGAGCCTGGCTCCTCTCCTGGGGCGGCTGCCAGTACCCTGGCTAAGGAGCCTAGAGCCAAGGACCTTCGGCTCTGAAGAGGTGAAAGCTGGCAGGGAATGGGGCTGGCGTGGAGGGGCAGAAGCAGAAAAGACAGCTTGGCCAGCCATGTCTACTGAGGACACCTCCTCCCTGGGACAGTACCTGCCACTTAGGAACTTTCTTAACAAAAATAAAAAGCCAAAAACATGTCAGTGTCCTGTAAGGAACTGTACTGTTGGCCTGCATCAGGGCCCAGAAGATCACAATCAGGTCATGCCAACTGCCTCCTCAGCCCCCGGGAGACCTTGAGCTGCCCCCACCTGTGGCCTGTCCCCCCCCCATCTCCCCATGTTACAAAGCAGGTGATGTGTAACTGATGCACAAGCAGGGCTTCAAACAAACATTTCTAGGCATGGCAGTTTGTGGGTGTTGCCTGGCACTCCAAGGGCGGAACACCAGGAGTGTGGGTCTCCCAGGAGTGCAGGCTGAGTGGCTATTCTAAGGCTTAAAGGAGCAGGGTCCCGGCCTTGCCTGGATTGGCAGGGGGGAGGTGACCCCTGTATTGAGAGTCACAGAGCCCAAGGCCAGGTTGTCATTCTAGCTGGCCCTCTGAGCCTGCCCAAGTGAGACAGGGGAAGGCGGCAGACGAGATCATCTCCAAGGCTCCTTTCAGCTTCTGAACCTGAGCCCCATACAGAGCCCACTCGGGGCATTTTCTCACAGCTACCTATTAAGCCGGGTAAGAGCAGGTGAAGGAGGTGGCTCAAAGGCGGAGACCCTCCTCCTTCCTTCTAGTGCTTTTATGAGAGGGCAGTAAGTCTGTTTCTCTGGGGAAACAACTTTGGAAAAACAAGTAAATGGGTCCCAGCAGAGTCTCAAGCCCTAGGAGGTCTGTGTCCAAGACTAAAGGTGCCAGCAGGCCTGAGTCAGAGAGCACTTGAGCTCTGTGTAGGGGCCTGGAGCCACCTGGGGGCTTGAAGGTGGCTTTAGCCGCCTAGCCACAGCTTGGGTGGGGACACAAGCTCTTCCCATGGCCCAGGTGGGCTGGGGCCTAGGCTGGGAGGGCCAAGCTGGCTCACCCAAGTCTTTCAGAGGCCCTTACTTGGAGCCCTATTCTCCTTCACCCCCCATGTAAACAGGCTACCACTGTAAGTTCATATTTTATTTCCAATAGGTTTGGAGCTTTGTTGATTTTTGCATTTTTGTAAAAAAAAGTTTTCACTTAATTCATTGAAAGCCCTTTCGTGCTGAGCCCAAGGGGGAGCCTGGGCCAGGCCAGACCCTTCACAGCCCTCTCGCTCCCATCCCCAGACCCCCAGCGCTGGGAGCAGGGTGGCTTCCCTCCACCTGCTCTGCCCTCCCGCCCCCGCTGCATCTTTCTGTACAGAACAATTTTTAAAATGGAAGCTAAGACACAATATACATTGGACAGGCACGCACACACATGTATACAGGCGTCCGCTCCAAAGGGCAGGACGTCAGCTGCACTCAGAGAGCACCAAGGAATGCATACGGAGCCCCTCCCATGAGGAGGGCAGGGCTTAAGCCCCACCTTGGTCCTCAGTCCGCAGCTCCTCCCCACCCATTGCCCTGCTAGCTGCCAGAGGGAGGGAGGGGAAAGGGGGGGAAGCTGACAGCAGCTGGGGGGTTAGGAAGAGGGCAGTGCCAGTCTGGTTGGGGGTCCTGGGGCCAGGGAGGCTGCTCTGGGGGCCCAGAGGGAGAGGACTGAGGCGGACCCCTGGCCTCAGGAACCTGAGGGATAGAACACCCAGGCCTTGCCCCTCCAGGAGCTTCAAGGGCCCAGGGTTGGGAGTGGGGCTGGCTTCTGCAGCTTTGGCCTGCCAGCCCCAGACTAAATATACATTTGGTAAACCTAGGAGCCAGGCCAGCTAAGACCCCAGCACAGCCACCTCCTCGAGCCTCACAGCTGGGAAGCAGGTCTGTTCCCGGGATGTCCACATCCCTGGCTCTCACCCTGGCCTGGGGAGGTGCAGTGAACAGGGCCTGCCCTGAAGGCTGGGTCCCTCCCCTCGGCCCCTTCCAGCTTTCTGCTTGGGCCCCAAGAAGAAATTAAAACTAGTTAGTTTCCCTACATTAAAAAGAGACAGAAACACATCCCCTGCCAAAAGGCCGGTGGGCAATGAAGGGACTTTGTCTCTGCAATGGAAAAGGAGAGAAGTGGGCAAGGGGAGGGCTGCAAAATAGTTTCTTTTAAAAAGTGCTTGGTAAGTCTGTTTTAAAGTGTGTGTCTATATCTATGTACAGATATACACACAGACACTGTTCACACACTGCTGCCCACGCATACCTGCACACGTACAGAAATGTATACATATACAGAATCATATACATATACATACATACATACATACATACATACATATATATATATACTTTAAAAAGTCCTAGGTAAGAAGATCTGAGCCAGGCCGGGGCCGGGCCTGCAGGGTCACGACTGGAGGGTGTGGGCCCGGCTGGGCTGGCAGACGGGGCACTCGCTGCCCTCGGCACAGAGCTCGCACAGCACGGCGTGTTGGCACGGCAGCACCGCTCGGTTCTGCTCCTGACACTTAAGGCATTTCACCGACTGCATGTGGAACACGGCCTGCGGTGGGAGGGGATACCGTGATCACTGGCCTGGCCCAGCACTGGAGCCAGCAGCTCTCTCAACATTCACTTCAGTCCCCCTGGCATGAGAAAACTAAGGCACAGAGTTCAGCAGCATGCTCGCAGAACCCAGGCAGACAAGTGAGAGCTGGAGTTCAGGCTGTTGCCCTCACGACTCTCAAAATCTGCTTCTGGCCCCCCTGGGGAGAGCAGAGGGCCAGGGTGACTCCACAGGCTCCTACCCTGACAGACTCTTCCTCTCACAAAGCCTCTGCCCCCGCTTCATTTGATCTAACAGTGACCCTTGGTCCCCAAAAGTGAACAGTGGGGCCTGGCTGCAAATGCCCAGTGAAGGAAAGAATGCACTTTCTACTGTGCCATGCTCCCCAGACATTCAGCCGGGCACCTAAGAATGCAGACAAAGTAGCCCTGGGGACCTAACTGTTCTGGAATGCCTACTGGTATGTGCAGAGCTCAGAGGAGAAGCATTTTGATGCCACTGAAGGCCCAGGCCTAGTGATGCAGCTTGGGTCAGCCCAACCCAGAACTGTGGGGGCACTGACGCCTCTCCATCTCCACCATGCCCACCTCTAGGAGGGCAGGATCTTGTGTCAGCCCAACAGGTAGGTAGAGGCTCTCAGGAGGGTGGCTGTCCCTGGAGCAGCATGGACCCAGCAGAGTCCAAGTACTGGCTGAGGCTACTCTATACCCCCACCCAGCACTCCCCTAACCTCCCAGGCTGACCTTGTCCACTTGCTCCAGGTGGGCCCGCAGCTGCTTCTGGAGGGAGTAAAGGGTAGAGAGCGAGAGGGCCTCCAGGTCAGAGAAGGCGGGTAGGGCCTGCGGGTCCGGACCCGAGTGAAGCCGCTCCAGCTCTTCCTGTAGCTTCTTAACCTGCCCCTCCAGTGCATCCCGCTGCTCCCGGGCCAGCTCGCACTCGGCACCTGCTGCACTGGCCCGCTCACCGGCCTCCTCTGCCTCCTTCTTCCAGGCATCACAAGCCTGTGGGCCCAACACACAGCACCTCATCGTGATGGCCCCCTGCCCCCGGTCCCCCCTGCAAGTGCCTCTCTGGGAGCCTGTGTGGGCCACTTGTGGCTGCAGGGGCTGCTCGGGAGCTGGGTCAGCTGCCTGGGGAGGGAGGAGGCGGACACTGCCTGCAGAGAAGAGAGATTTCAGGACCTGCCAGAGACTCTCTCTAGGCAGGGAAGAGGGCTGAGCCCAACACAGCAGGGCAGCACCTGGCAGAGCTGCATGTGCTGCTGGCCAGCACCTGCAGGAGCAGCCAGGCTGCACCTGGCCAGAGGAGCCATCTCAGAACCTAGAACCTTGGACCTGGAGCCTCGGAGAATCAGGGCTTCTGGGGAAAGGCTAGCAGTGCTGTGGAACCAAATCAAATAAGCAACTCAGTGGGAATTCTGGGCTGGGGACACTAGCCTCCCCAGGGTCATGACTGGGAAAGCAAGTTGTTTCCATAGGAGAAGAGAGTGAGAGTTTCTGCTCTGTCCTCTAGGACCCCCCACCCTTGCACCCCTGTGCCTGCTCTGAGACGGGCTCAGGCTGCATGCCACCCAGACCCTGGGAAGGCGAGTGGCTATGGAGACCCAGTACCTGCTTAGCCTGCTTCCAGGACTCCTCCCACTGCTTGATGGTGCCATTAGCTTCTTCGAGCTCTTGCCGCAGCCGGGCCAGCTCAGCAGCCCTGGCCCTGACAGGAAGGCAGGGGAAGTGCCTGGGGAGAAGCTACCAGAGGCAAAATGCTCCCAGATGCTGCTATTCATCCCGTTCAGACCTGCCTCAGGAAAGGGAGGAATGTGAGAGCTCTGGAGGGCTTCAGGCCTGGGCCCAGGCCATGGTCCTGTCCACTTTTGTCTGGTGGCTTCAAGGGGCTAGCTGTGTAAGGCTTCTGCCGTGTCAGGCTGGGGCCTCTCCCAGGTATGTTGGGCCCAAAGATGCATCAGACCTACTGTAGCACGACCTGCTACACTTAGGGATGGCTGGGTGGCTCAGCGGCTGAGCATCTGCCTTTGGCTCGGATCTGGGGATCAAGTTCCCCATTGGACTTCCTGCAGGGAGCCTGCTTCTCTTTCTGCCTAGGTCCCTGCCTCTCTCTCTCATGAATAAATAAATAAATCTTAACAAAAAATATTTTTTTAAAAATTTGGCACTTAGCTTCTGAGGCTTAGCATCCTCATCTGAAAAGTGAGGTTGCCATCACTTGCCTCACAGGGTGATTCAGGGGCTTCAGAAGTACTGCAGGAAAGCAATCTGTAGAGGGAGCAATTTGTGACTATGAGCTGACTTTCAGCCTAGAGGGAGGAGCACCTTCTTGCACCTGCTGTAAGGCTTGGGAGGAGAGTCAGGGGCAAAATGCAGGCTAGAGCTTCAGATGGAGGTACAGGTGGAACAAGAGGAGTTCAGGGAGCCCTGGGTTCATTCCCCTTGTTTTATGGTAAGGAAACAGATAAAACGTGTTGCTAAGAATTACACAAACAGTAGGGGCGCCTGGGTGGCTCAGTCGGTTGGGGTTCCAACTCTTGGTTTTGGCTCAGGTCGTGATCTCAGGGTCATGCGAATCGAGCCCTATGTCAGGCGGCTTGAGATTATCCCTCTGCCCCTTCTCCACACACTCATTCACATGCATGTGCTCTAATAAATAAATAAATCTTAAAAAAAAAATCACACAAACAGTAAATAGTGGAGCCAATATACAGTCAGGATATCTGACTCCAAGGGCTTACACTTTTTGATGAGCTAAGCTACATGCTCCTCCAACCATGCACTTGCTCAGTCTTTCTTTTTTTAAAGATTTTACTTATTTATTCATAAGACACACAGAGAGAGAGACAGAGACAGAGACATGGCAGAAGGAGAAGCAGGCTCCACATCGGGAGCCCGATGTGGGACTCGATCCTGGATCTCCAGGATCACACCCTGGGCTGAAGGCGGCACTAAACTGCTGCCACACACTTATTATTCTAATAATTTCTTTCTCATTCCCTTCCCAACTAATCCAGCCAGGATATTCCAGAACCTTCCAAGCAATACAAGTGCACCTGAAGTATGAGAGACGTCATCCTGTGTGGAGAGCCTGAGATGTGCATTATCTATGAGCCTACATGCCCGGTCTCAGAGATGGGAATTCAGAACCAATATAACACCATCCCAGCAACAAGCTCTTCCCATGGACCTCTCCTCCACAACTCAGGTAGCATTTCCTCTCTTGGAAGAGAGCCACTTCCTCTCCTCATCATGTCCAGGTCAGATGACTTCTATTATTCTGAATCACAAACCCAGGCCTCTGACTCCACACAAGAGTGACAGTCCCTAAGTATGCTCTAATGTCTGTGCACCTCTGCCTCCCTCCCTGCCAGCTGGACCTGTTGAGCTCACAGTGTATCTAAAAGCTTCTGCTCAGTAACTACATAGAGAAGGAATGAATGAATGTGGGGTCAGTAAGAAGGTCTAGGGTCAAGACGCTTCCAGAACATGAGCAAGTCAGACAAATGTAACAGAAAGCATCTGAAGCTGACAAAAATCAACATAAAAAGGCAATGGCCACCTTCAAAACTGGAAAGATGCTAAGAAATCTCGAGTGAGATTAGGGAGCTCCCAAACCTGGTCAGAATGTCAAAGGCTCAGAAGCTTAGGCTCAGTGTGACCAGGAACCCCAGAACCCTGGGGGGAGGTTACTCCTGACCTCCTCCCAACAGCTTCTGGTTGGGGGATGGACTAAGCAGAGCAGCTGCTGTTTGAGAGGTGGCAGGCTGGGCCCAAGTGTTACGTCAGTGAATACTCACAGTGGCCGCCCATGAGAGGGTACCCTGCCCGAGCTGGTGGAGCCTGTGGCTCTCCACATCCTGCTTCTAACTAGGATTTGATGTGCCCTCTGGAACCCACAGTCCACACCATTCTAACTCTTGTGTACAGCAAACAGCCTTTGGAGTTACTGCTGGGCAACCCTGAGCCTGTTCAGATCCTTCCTTTCACCTCTTGTGAAGCTGGCTGTTTTGAGTCCCCCGCGCAGAGTTCAAGGTGACAGGAAGAACTGGCACCTAGGCCCCTGTGCCTGAGGCCACTGCTTCTCACTACACTGGCCCCTGTGCCCAACACTTCACTCTGGTCACTCCGTTTAAGCATCACCACTGTCTTATACAAAGAGGATGCTGCCATTACACAAACTTCAAGCAGAGAAAACTAAGAGAGGCTAAATTGCTTGTTTAGGTTTACCCAGCTAAGGGTAGTGGGTAGCTCTCTAACGTGAGAGAGAGCCTGACCCACCTCCAAGCGATGAGCCCCTTACTTCAGCTTCTACTCTGCGTTGCATGTGGCTGTGGCCAGATGCTCTTTTGAAAAGTCCAGATTTTGCCCCAGATCTCAGAGACATAAAACCCCTCTTACCCAAAGATCCATGTGATGCTGAGGTCCCCAAAAATGTGTTTTCCGACTGGCTCAGGTGGCCCTGGGGCTGCTGCAGGAAATGTGAGGACAGGCTGACGGGAGGGGATGGGGATGCTGAGTGGAAGGAAGCAGAACTGCCCAAGGAGCCAGGGATGTTCACGGGTGCAGAGCTCTGCAGCAAACTGCCACCTGTAAGAGAGGCCCCAGAGGGCCCAGTGAGGGCAGGGCAAGCTACACGGGGCAGGGGACAGCTCATCTGCACCACCACCACCACCACCCACCTCCCCCGGCCAGGCTGGACCCCTAGGAGTCCGCCCTCATGCACTGCCCGCCCACTGCCCAGTACCAATTGTGATGCTGCCTGGGTGGGGCACCGTGCTGTTATCGAAAGTCTTCTCTAGAGCAGCCACCCCAAACTCGTTCAGGTCCAAGTCATCCAAGGCAGACTCTGAGGATAGAGAGATTGGGGTATGAGCCTCCTTGCCTCCCAAGGGACCACACAAACCTGAGGTTCCAGGTCTTGCCTCCAGGACCCACCTGCCCTCTACTGCCTCCTCTTCATGCTCAGTCCCACTAGACCCATGCTCTCAAGCCTCTGCCTGTAGGGCTGCTCCTCTGCCAACACAGATGCCCTGCGCTGTCTGCCTTGCCAAGTCCAGCTCAAATGGCTCTCTTTTCCGAAGCCTTCACTGATACTTCCGGGGGACCCAATGCAGGGTCTCTGAATCTGATGGAGATCTTATCTTGTCTGCTATTGTTACAGCTCATGTCTCATCCCTGAGTTCTCTAGGGGAAAGCAAGTCTCTCGGCCCTCAGGGGGTAGTATACATAGTAGGTGCTCGACAAATATCCACTGCCCTCTGCTGAACTAGACTGCGAGATTGGGAACAAAGTCCCTCCCTGAGGGCAGGAACACTCTGTCTCCATCTCTTAATATCCCAGTGCTTAAAACACAATCTGGCACGAAGTGGCACCCATAAATGGCCACTGAAAGAGAGACACAGTGGCTTCTAATAACCAGGAACTCTTGAGGACAGTTGCGCAGGTTGTTCACTACACAAGGATACCTAGTGAGAGAATGAGTGAGGGCTGAATGACCTATGCCATGGAATGAGACTACACTTGTCCAGAGAAAGAGGCATCTCTTTCTAATTTGCACAACAGAGCAAACTGGAGGGCTACTTTGCTATAAGGGCTAATCCTGGCCCTACACTTTGGGCTCATTTTCCCTTTAGCTCAAAGGGTTCAGAGCGCCCACCCTCTGACTCTCCCAAGATAAACTGACAGGTGATAAGTACACTGGTTTGAATCTCACTCCAGAGACCTAGTTTCTCTAACTACAGGTCCAGTCCTGGACTTGGCAACAGAAATGGCCTAATTACCTATGACTGACTCTACCGTATCGCTGGTGGGATAGAAGGGCAGAGCATTTGCATTCATGCCAGGGACGCTGCTGGTGCCGGCAGGGCTAGGAGGAGTAGCTGCCAGGCTGGAGGTGATACTAGAAGAGATGCTTGAGGTCAGGGGGCTGCCCACGGGAAGGATACCCAGCATGTCCTGCAACGAGAGAGGAGGAGAGGCAATGGGATGCCTGCTTATGGAGGCCATGGCCAGCGGCTGGAGATGGAGGCTGGGAGGAGGGGCAGAGGGAAATGGTGCATCCCAGCTCTCATACAGATAACCCCATCCCCAGACAGGACCCCACCCTCTTGACACCTTGTTGAGAGGCTGGAGTTGGAGAGCTGTGGCTTGCAGGCTGCAGGGCCCACTCACCCTGAAGTCCTGCAGTAGGGAAGGGAGAAGTCCAGTGCTGAGCAGAGTATAGGTGCTCAAGAAATATGTATTTTTTGACTACATATGAGTCAAAATGACTGAGTCCAGGAGGTAAGGGGTTCCAGGGCCTGACCCCACTCTCTCTGGATTTGGGGCTGGGACCACACTTTAGTCCTGCCCTCGGTTTGTGGGGAAAGCAGTGGCCCCACTCCCTGAAGCCTGAGATTCTGGGCCTATCCTGTCCATAGCTAGTACCAGAAGGGAAGGAAGGGGGCTGAGAGCTGTATACCTGTTTGGGCTGAAGAAGAGGCTGCTCTTGACTCCTGGGCTCTAGTGAGTGGGGTTTTAACTTGGCCTGAGAGAAAGAGAAGTCAGGGAGCAAGAAATCAATGTGATGCTTGGGAGTCCAGGAGTCCTCCCAAACCATCCACCTGCCATGGCGCACTGAGGCTGAAGGCATGTGTCCCACGATTCCCCTCCAAACACACACACTGGACTCCCTCTCCACCCCTACTCCTTTACCTACCCTAGGAACCAAGGGAGCCGTTCTCTCCCCCCTGGGGACTCCAAGCCTCAGGTAAGTACAATTAGAGATTCTCTGTCCTGCTCCCCAAGGCCCTGCCACTCCATCAAGGCAGCATAGGGCAGGGAAAAGACTGGCTATGGGGTCAGAAGACTGAGATAGTCTCTGTGACAGGGTGAGGTGCCTGACCATGCTAACCTTCCTGTCTCCATTTGTAAAATCCGGATAGCCTCACTCACTCTATTTAGTGTCGAAGAGGCTATGACCAGGGGCTTCCTAGCTCCCAATCATGTTCCCTCCCCAAAGCTGGGGCAAGATTGCCCTCCAGGGCTCCTCCTGTCCCATGCAGGGAGAAGGCTAACCTCACTGAGGTTCCCCTTGCAGCCCTTACCTGGCATTTAAAATTTTTCAGGTACTCAGCTCCCACCTGGTCTTCCCTCTCAAAGCCAGGAGCCTTCTTATAGCTGCCAGGGGCGAGGCCAGACTCCCCAGGGAAGACAATGCCTTCCAGGTTTGGGGGCTTCCTAATGGAGCCCGGGGGGGAGCCGCAGAGATTAGATGGGCTTCCTAGATTGCTGTTTCTACAGAGGAGCTGCAGAAAAGAAAGGGAGTAGCTTGGTGTGCAAAATGTGGGCTGCAGCACAGCCCATCCTCCATCCCTTCCTCAGGAAAAGTCTTCAACAGGGCTCAGTTCTATTTTCATCTGCCAATGGGCAGCGACTACCATGCAGAGACCCCGAACCTCATGAGGAAATGACCGGGGGGGTGTGTGTGGCAGAAGGCTCGTGTCCCTTCTACCAGCTGTACCCAGGCTGACCAACACAGGCTCTGGGTTTACTCCCCAACCCGCCCCAAGCAGATTTTGACAGAAAAACCCGGAGGCAGAAAGGGCAGAACCCTTTGGCCTGAAGCAAAATATGAGGGCCCAAGCACTGGCTGTGAGGGAACTGGGGGCCTCAGAGGCAGGCGCTGAACTCCTGGCTAGCTGGAGCCCACCCACTCCCTGGACGGGCACGTACAGTGCTGAGGTCAGGGGCATGCGGGCTGGAAGGGCTCACGGGCACCGAGTCTCCGGCAGCAGATGGCATGTACAAGACAGGACCCGGCTGAGTGGGGCTCGACACGGTTGAGGAAGGCTGTAGATCGTCACTGAGGGGTGGCTCTGCAAGAGACAGGGTCAGGGTGTCAGCAGGCTCCTGTGTCAGCTCTATCCCTCCAAAAACACATCTGGGTCTTTTTCTAAGGAGAGCATGCACCCCCTGTGCACAAAGGGAAGGCTCTTACCTTCCTTCTGATAATATTACATACTGTGCACTTACTTTGTGCCAGGCAATTTGTATTAACTGAATCTTCACAATGACTAGAAGATACAAAATATTGTAGTCTACATTCTACTGGTAAGGAAACTGGGGCTCAGAGAGATAAGGTTAGTCTCCCTAGGTGTTGGAGCTAGGAAACAGGAGACCTGGGATCTGAACTACTCCAAAGCCTGAGCCATTAATTACTCCTCCATGTGGCCCAGCTGCCCCTGGCTGGGGATGACCTCTGTGCCAAGAATACACTCCCCACTCTAAGGGCCCTCAGTGTACTTTTCACTCTAATCTCAGAGGTAAGGCCTGGCCCTGAAAAGAGGTGAAGGACAATCAGTGGCTTGTGGTGACCACAGGTTTTAACTCGATCCCCATCTCTGAGATGGGCAGTGGTGGTCTGGAGTGCAGTGGATGCACTGACAGCCACGCTGTCTGACACAGCAGCTATGAGCCACGTGTGGCTACGAGGGGCTGGTTGGAACTGAAACGTGCTGTACCTAATTCAAGTGTACAACAAATTTCAAAGACTTAGTCTGGGGGGATAAAAAAGTAAAATATTGATTTTTATACTATTTTTGAAATGATATTTTATACTGGATTAACTAAAAATATACTGTAAAAATTTAGCCTTTTTTTAACATGGTTACTATAAAGTCTAAAATGACATAAGGAGGGCAGCCTGGGTGGCTCAGCGGTTTAGCACCACCTTCGGCCCAGGGCGTGATCCTAGAGACCCGGGATCGAGTGCCACGTTGGGCTCCCTGCATAGAGCCTGCTTCTCTCTCTGCCTGTGTCTCTGCCTCTCTCTTTCTCTCTCATGAATAAAATAGATACAATCTTTAAAAAAAAAAAAATGACATAAGGAGGGCTGCAGTACATTTTCATGGAACAGCTCTGCTCTCAACAGGATGGAGCGTCGTGTTCTATTAGTGATGTCGGTCATGGATGTAGCATGGTGTGGCTGCTGAGATCTGCCTACTTGGCTCTGGGAGGGTGCCTCACCCTGCCTGGGCCTGTGAGTGCCTGACTAGGGGCCCGGTCCTGCTCTCTGTCTCAGGACCTTGGAAGCTCCAGGGCTTTGAGGCCAGTTCCAGGGGGTATATGCAGGGGGGGGGGACTGGAACTTCCAGTGAGGACAGAGCCCACTGCTGGCTGGCAAATGAGAGGTCACTCCTCTGACTGAGCCTGAGCAGAGGGTGAGGGGAGGAGGGTGGAGAAGGCAATGGAAACAGCATACGTTCTACGTGGGCAAAGGCGCAGAAAGGTCCTCGGGGACAGCTGCCTGACTGCTGCATGTCGTTGCACTTGGTGGATTTATAGATCTGGAGGGCAGAACAGAGGCAGGTCAAGCTTAGGCAGAGAGGGACAGGCAGGCCTTCAACATGGAATGATTAGTTAACTCTTTTCTCCTCCCAATTCCACATCATTTCCCGAAGTCTCTCTGTATTCACTTCTTATTCAAACTCCTGAAGCAGATAGGGCCACCCCCATGCTAAGGACACCCTCCCTTCTGGAGTCACAGATTCAACCAGTCCTTCTTTGGCCCTCACAAGGGATCTTTTCGATGCTATTTCTCCACTCAGGGTCTTGTCCAGGGCTATGACCTCTAAATGCCCCTTTGGGCATTAAGAAAGTCAAGATCACAGGCAGCACCCATCCACCAGGGGGCACCCTGGGTTGGGATCTATGTCTAACTTTCCATCCTGCTATCTGTAACCCACATAAGGTGACCTCTGTCCATATGTCTATCTCAAGATGTCCTAGCCTCCATAGTCCCATAGGCCAGGACAGCATGTGTCTCTTTATACCCTATACCAGATCTTAGAACACTGACGTGGCCCAAGGCTACAGCATGGGGCCAGTGGGCTGGGAAAATACAATAGAGAGGTTGCAGGTACCATCAACTCTGATCTGAAACACAAAAAAAGGGCTCTCTTATTTTTTAAATCCTGAGGTCACTGGATTGTAAGCACCATGAGTGGTAGGTACAAAGCCCAGAATGGCCAGGTCAGTATGCCCAAGTCCATATCTTCCCTGTCAGGAGGCCAGGGAGATACAAAATTGGGAGCAGGGGGCTGCTCAGTGACTATGGGCTCAGAACCAGGCAAGTGACCAAATTAGGGTACAGGGCTCCTTTAGGCACTGCCTGGGTGGGGGCCTCTTCCAGAACGGTGTCAGTGTCAGTTCTGCCCACATCTGCCCAGGCCTTCCTTTCCTTCTTCCTTGCTTCCCAAAAAGGGCATGTTAAGCCACCCACAGAACTCATAGGGCCCCAGCCCCTGCTCCAACACCCACCTCTGGGTGGAACTGCTGCTCCGTGCGGGTGTGACAGTACTGGCAGGCATCTCCGTTCTCACACTTGCCAGGGTCTCCCCACTCATCCCCATGTTTTACGTTGGGACACGGAGATGACCTGGTCCAATTACATGGTGGGGTCAGAGGGATATAGGAGAGGGAGAGAGTAGGAGCTGGGGAATGCCAACTAGGTGCCTGTACAGGGCCCTCTTTGGTCTCCCTGCTTCACAGGGCCAGGCTCACAAAGAGAAAAGATGAGCTGCAGAGCTTCTTACTGGGGCCAGAAGCTAGACTCTGCTTCTGTGGAGCAGCGTGGCTGTATCAGCAAGGACACATTCTGTCCCCTTCCACCAGGTCCTCACACCAAGCACTTTGCAGCCCCACGACAGCCAAACCATACTTCCCGTACAATGGCTTGCCCCAGCAGTCACCCCTGAGGATCAGAACTGGAGGGGCCTTAGAAATCATCTGACCTAAGATCCTCATTTCATGCCAGGGGAGGATCCCAGAGGACTCCCCGTCATTCAGCTATCCTGACCATCCCCTCCCTTTGTACCTGGGCCCTAAACCCTATAATCCCCAGGGCTGGCTTCCCTGCCTCCCTGCGAGCACACTAGAAGCAGCCCCCACCATGATCCATTCCTTGCCACCCCTCCCTCCCATGACTGGCCTGCCTGGGCCAAAGGACCTGTATTTGTGTTTCCGGGGGCTCCGCCTCCGGTCCTTGCTGTTGTGGTAGTAGGGACAGGCATAGCCCTGGCGGCACAACCTCGGGGGCTTCTTGCATGGCTCCGTCTTATAGTTCCCCAGCACGTAAGCGGTCTCTACACAGAGGGGTCAGAGGCAAGGGTCAGGCAGGTAGGGCAGAAGAAGCCACTTAGGAAGGAGTCCAGGAGCTCAGGCCACCTCCTCACGTGCCAACACCAAGACTGAGACCCAAGAGAATCAAAACACTGTCTCTCACTGGGCTCACAAGGTAACACAGGGCAACTCAAGAGGGTCAAGCGCAGGTGTATATAAACATACCTAAGTACGCCTGTGGGAAAGCCCCCTGAGGAAGTTGGGGAGCACCTGGACTGATCAGAGCAGGGCAAGGTCTGGGGAAACTCCCCAGAAGCGCCCCCAGACGAAAGGGCTGTGGTTGGAAGAAAGCTGGGATGAAGAAGTGGTGGCTCTGGCTAGAGAATGCAGTAGGTGGTGGTGAGCCAAATCCTTAGGGTAGCTATGGGCAGGAGTAGAGAGAGGACACAGCTAGCAGGAGGAAGCATGGCCCTTTGTGGGGCCACCTTTACCTTGCCACCGTGGCTCCTCACTGAGAATTTTTTCTATCATGGCATGGCTCGCAGCCCCAGCCGTCTGGCCCTCTATGCTGCCCTCTACTGTGGTCTGGCCATTCTGCAAGGCCTCCATCGCCTGGAGCTCTCTGAGAGGATAGGAGAGGACAGAAAGTGGGGCCGGGGCATGAGGTGAGAAGCAGAGTACCAGCCCCTGCACCCCATCTATGGCAGTCACCATGTCAGCAGCCAGGCCCCCACCTGGCCCACAGCCATCAGCCCACCTGATGTCGTAGACAGGGGAACGGAGGTCATGGGGCCCGTGGGCAAAAGCGCAGTGCAGGCCGTTTTTGGTGCAGTTGCCTTTTGAGTCTGTCTCATGGATACAGATTCCAGTTTTGTAGTAGCGCAGGTGGTACCTGCGCTCAGTGTCCCCTGTGGTCCTGTGCAGGAATGGGCACCTGAAACATTGGGGTGAGGGAGGGGTCACTCACCTTGCTCCTGTAGCCTGGGCAATCAGCCCCTGCCCTGCCCTCCCCATTGAAGGCTTTCTCCAAGACTGGGACGGTGCGTGGATAGTGCGCTAAGGCCAGCAGCGAAGGGCCCTGCTGCGGGAACAAAACCACCCTCCCACCATCTGTCGGATGCTGTGGCTGGATGGGGGCCTGACAGGGGCCAGGATTCCTACTTCAGCCTGCTCAGCAAGTCCTCTCAAAGGCTACCTGGCCAGGGCCCTGGGCTGACTTGAAGCTCCAGAGGGGGCACACTTCTGAGAGAGCAAGTGCTGCCTGGATCTGCAGAGGTCCATGGAGCAAGGGCCTGCTCAAAGCATGGGTACCCCCTCATGCCCCAGGGCTTTATTTATCAGGCTGGGGCGGTGGGGACAACAAGTCTTGGACGTCTGGGAGAAGTGCACATGCAGGGATGGCTCAGTGAGCTATACCCACAGGCCTCTAGCAGGGTTTCCCATTACCACCTCTGCACAGTTCAAACAAGCAGGGTCAGCAAATGCTCCCTCCCAACGATGTCCCCAGGTTTGCCTTTTCTATTTAGAAGAAAATCCTGTGTAGAGTTTCCCAAAAGTGGGTAAAGAAGCCCCCCCCCCAACTCTCGAGGATGGTGGGGCCTGAGCCCAAGTCCAGGCCACAGGAAAGCAGGCCAGGCTGTAGCAGTCGCCCCTGAAAGTAGCTTTTAGCTAGCTTGTTAGAATCTACCCAGCCTATTCTGAGAGCATCTGACCCAGAAGATAGGAGGCTCCTCTGAGGGTAGACTGAGGGGCAGGGCACTCACTCGTCGCCCTCCGGGCAGAGGCCTGTGGCCTCGTCGTACTTGGTGCAGTAGACGTCGGGGCTGTAGTTGAAGGTGCCGTCCCGACGGCGGATGGACCGGCGACGTCGCTGGTTCACGAAGTGCCAGTGGAAGCAGGTGTAGGGCCGGTGCTGAGTGCATTTGTGTTGTACAAAGAGGGGGCACTGCTCCGTGCGGAATTCCTTCAGGTACCTGCAGGGAGAGCCCCCACGTCGGGTGGGCCAGGAGCAGAGACTTAAGCCCCTTGCTTCTCAGCAAGAAGTTAGCCACCAAGTCTTCTGAGGGCCCTACTCTGGGGAGCCAGTTCCATTAGGACAGAAGAGGCCCAGAGCTAAGGATAGACCTTAGCGTCCAGACCCTTCCTAGTACCCAGATCCCAAGCCAGCCTGAAGAGCAGAAACCACAGACCACAGCAGTCAGCTGTCTGCCATGGCAGCCGTTGGAGGGCTTAACCAGTGGCTTAGTTCTCTGAGCCCGCTCTGTGGTTTCCCACACCAAACCACTGATTGCAGACAAAGGGCTGCAAACAAGAGCATGAGGAGCCTCTCCAAGCTCCCTGTGGGGTCCTCTGCTGCCCAGGTTTGCCTGCCAATCCCTAGGGGTCTCACCTGTCCCAGAAGCAGGGTTGGGGCTCCAGGCTGAGGGCTAGGGAGGCTACTGCTTTGGAACTGAAAGCCCAAGTCACAAGGTGTTCCTCTAAACTACTCAATCAGAATATCGTTGTCTTGTCTGCTTACCTCCTCTCAGAGACACTTCCTAGCACTACACAGGTTAGTGCTTTTCTTAGAAAGGAGCTCCTTTTACAGAAGCATCTGAAGAGACTCTCCTTCCCAGCCTTGCCTGCCCCCAGCAGTCTCTGCGTACCTGCAACTGCATACCTGCAACTGCGTACCTGCAACTGCATACCTGCAACTGCATACCTGCAAAAGCTGGGGCTGTTTATGTCCTGGCTAACGTGGGGATTTGGGGGCACTGTGCTTTTGGCCTTCTCCCAACCTTTGTCCCTCTCCTCTGCACTTAATATCCAAGACACCCCAACACAGCTCTCTCCCATGTACCACCCAGTGGAGGGCCCAAGACCCACTTACCCCCTTACAGAACACGCCATCCGTGTTTTTGCTCACTCTTATGTATCCAGGTGGAGGGTATCCTAGACTTGGGAGCCCCTGCACAGTGGGGACAGACAGGCAGCACAGTTTTCTTTACTCATTCCCTTAAGCCCTAACAATGCAGGGAAAAATGGCGTGACAGAGGACATTTGATGCCAGGAATGAGGATGGTTCCAGAAGTCACAGAAGATTGTGTACAGAAGGGGACAGGGCGGGAACTACCACCTGACCTGAAGTAACTGTCCCGGCTTGGAGCAGCACCAGAAGCTAGAAGGCATGAGACAAAGGTGAGAAGATCTGGCTCATGCCAGGATACTTGAGGCCTTATTAGTCTGAGCATATGGAAGGTATAGGGATAGGTAGGTTGAGGGCTAAGACTTTCCAGACAGGTTTTCTTTAATGCTAATAAAAAAGTGCTGAAGAATCTCTCCACCTTGAAGTGTAGAGAAGTATCCAGGTGTACGTAATGGGCCAGAGGAAGCTGGAGCTGGGTGCTCCCTGAGGAACACAAGTAAGGGTTTAAGGGGCAATAAACTTCCGAACAGAATCTGCTGTTCATTCAGCACATATTTGAGCATCTTCTAGGTGAAGGCGTGGTGGTAGTAGGCACTGAGGACCCTAATGAAGCAGGTCCTTGCCCTTGGAAGTCCATATTTTCATGGGAGAAACATAGAAATAATAGGCATAATCAACCAAGTGTGGAAAAGGTTACAAGGGAGGTTTGCTGAGAGTTCCTTGGGAACCCAGAGCAGGGGGCCCAGGCTGGGACAGAGGAAGGGAAATGGGGAGGTGCTGGTGAGTGAAGAATGTGGGAAGGATGTTTTTAGGCAAAGGACTAAGTATGAGCTTTGAAAGAGTATGTCTGCATCCAAGAGCTCCAAGTACCTTTGCAGGATATGAGTGGGGCGGAAAGGAATTAGAAAGGGGAAATGAGGATAAGGTGAGGTGCAGGAGGAGCCAAAATGCAGGGACTGAGTCCCAGGTACATTCTGAGACACTGGAGAGAAACCTGGAAGTTTCCCGAGGGCCTGATTTTCTCCTGTCCCTTTTGGCACCAGAATAGCAAGTCTTTCTTCCTGTCTGGTTAGACAGAAAGTTGTACCTCATGTTGCACACATGTCCCAAACCCTGGCACTGAGTTGGGACACCCATCCTCCCAACTAGTAGGCTGATCCCTCCTGGGCGGTGCATACTCTATCCATACTCCATACTCCACACTAGGAGATTAACTCAGGAAATAAGAGGTGGAATATGGGAGAGAAAGAAGCAGAATCCAGGGCCAGGAGCTGAGAAAAGAGTGGTTAGGATTGTCAGATTAAACATGGGACAGACACCTAGTTAAATTGGAATTTCGGATAAACCAATATTTCATGGGGCATAATGATAATAAAAATGTATCCAATTATTTGAAATCCTAATCTAACTGGCACCATTTTTGTTTGCTAAATCTGCCAACCCTGAGTGGTACCTGTCTGCTTGGTATAGTGCCTCAGTGAAAAACCAGGAGGCAGCCAGAGGAAGAGCTCTAAGACACGGTCACCCTGACTTTGGGCATAGTCTATCCTCTTGGCCTGCTGGCTTGGGGCAGCCATGTCCCCAGTGCCACACGCAAATACCAGGGCTCCAGAAGGGCTCTGGCTGGCAGGAATGCCACAGAAGACAGACACAAGGCAACAAATTATCTCATTTTAAGTTGTAGGCCAGGGACTTGGTATCTTTTAATAAACCAGGCTCTTTGCTTCCAGCCTCTCCCCTGTCCAACTTATCCTTTTTTTAAAATTTTTTTTTAATTTTTATTTATTTATGATAGTCACACACACAGAGAGAGAGAGAGAGGCAGAGACATAGGCAGAGGGAGAAGCAGGCTCCATGCATCGGGAGCCCGACGTGGGATTCGATCCCGGGTCTCCAGGATTGCGCCCTGGGCCAAAGGCAGGCGCCAAACCGCTGCGCCACCCAGGGATCCCTGTCTAACTTATCCTAACAGCACTCATTATTCTTCCTTAAGCCCAAATTTAATTCTCACTTTCTTAAAAGTCTTTAGCTTCCCCCAGTAGCTCCAGATAAACAACTCTTCAGCCTGGCATGAAGCCAGGCCCTATACATCTGGCCCAATAGATTTCTTCCAGCTTTATTTCCCTTGATTACTCTCCATTCCAGCTACTAAAACCGGAGTCCTTGGTGTCTTGCAAATAGATCTTTAACTTCCATCTCTTTATGTCCCCTTCCTTACCTGTAGAAATCTTTCAAGGCGGAATTCAATGGTAATAAATCTAATGCCATCACCTCCATGTTGCCTTCCTTGACTTCCACCTACCCTCCCCGTTCTGGCCTTGTCCCCAGCTAAAAGTTGTAATCTCTAAGTTTTGCCAGCACATTCTCTAGATATTTTTATAGCCTTTACTACCCTGCAATGCATGTTAATAATCTGTACATTTTACTCTTTCTCTACTAGATTATATAATCCTTGACAGCAAGCAAGAAATCAAGTACAGTTTGCTGAATGAATATAAGAAATGAAGTCACAGAAAAGGCAAAACCCACAAAGCAATACCAATAGCTTGATGATGCCACCAGCAGGCAGAGCATTGAGAGGTGAAAGCCTAATCCCTATTCCCTTGTGAAAAGTACTACACTATTTGAAACCTGTAACTTAGGAGATACGGCAGAGTGTCCTGCAGAAAAGCCTCATAAGAGAAGGGTCTGAGTGACCAAATTTACACAGAGAGCCCACTTTCAATCAACTACAATCAGAGGAGAGAAATTTCTAACCTTTTGCTAAAGTCATGAATGGAACTGTACCATCTGCTCCCTAGGAACCAAAATGTTTGTTCAGAATGTTCCATTTTCCCTTTCTAATTTTGACCCTATGCTAAAAGGCAATGCAGTGCCCAGGAGGCAAGGAGAAAACCACTTAGAAATCACTTTTCTTTTTTCATGTTTCAATAAAACATTTTCAGTGGAAATACACAACTGTCACTGTTAAGCTCCAATCCATCTCTTCATCTTTTTTTTTTAATTTTTTTTAATTTTTATTTATGATAGTCACACAGAGAGAGAGAGGCAGAGACACAGGCAGAGGGAGAAGCAGGCTCCATGCACCGGGAGCCCGACATGGGATTCGATCCCGGGTCTCCAGGATCGCGCCCTGGGCCAAAGGCAGGCACCAAACCGCTGCACCACCCAGGGATCCCATCTTTTTTTTTTTTTTTTTAAGATTTTATTTATTTATTCATGACAGATGCACAGAGAGAGAGAGGCAGAGACACAGGCAGAGGGAGAAGCAGGCCCCATGCAGGGAGCCTGATGTGGGACTCGATCCCGGGACTCCAGGATCGTGCTCTGGGCCAAAGGCAGGCGCTAAACCGCTGAGCCACCCAGGGATCCCCTCTCTTCATCTTAAGGCTTTGAAAGTACAAGATCTATGAAATTAAATAGGTTGAAACTCACTCTTTAATTCAACCAAACTCTCAGGAAACCCAAGAAGTCTTGGGATCTAACCAAGGAGGGAAGACACACCAATTGCTTACTCCCCCCTCTAAGCTCTGGGAGGGCACAAGGGCCACACAGCTAAATTCTTCACACTCTCATCTCCCAGGAATACCTGCACTCAAGGGTAAAACCCAGTAACATACAAGTTTCAAACTGTGAGGCCTCAGTGAGCTACTATGGCCAGAATGAGCCCAGAAACCATACAAGCCCTAGATAAGAGCTCTGTCAAAGAAAGCCACGCCTTCAACCTATAAAAGGATGACAAAACTAGAGGGACACACAACTGCTCAGAGCTTCACCTTTAACTAAGCAGCGCCTCCATGTCTGCCCCACTGCTAAGCTTAAATCAAAGCTACCTTTCACTCCTTTTCAGGACATCACATTAATTATCCTAGCAATGGTTTATTTATAAATGTAAAAGATTATTATAAAAGTCACAATCCCACTTGTAAAAATTTTGGAAAATGGAGAAAAGGGCAAAATTACTCTTAATCCCATCACTAATAATGTTAGCCTTCTGGTAAATTTTCTCGGTATTTTTACACAGATATAATGTATCATGTTGCTAAGCCACTTTACACAACTATTAAT